TTGGAAACCGTGGGGTGTCTGGATAAATGTTTCTAAAGTCATAGAGCTCTTTTGAATTTTAATTAAATATAATTAATTATAAAAAATTGATTATATATTAATTTCAATTATATTGATTATATTATAATGTTAAAATGGTTGGATATTGTTTTTTAAATTTAATTTTGATATAATTAAAGATGTTTGGATGATTTGATCAAAATTAATTTTAAATATACAAATTATTATAAAAGGCATTACTTTTTTAAAGTGTAAATATTAATTTCAAGTATATAATATTATTAAATTTATTAAAATCTTACTTTTTAATAAAGTAATTATCTACTTTTAAACTAACTTTATCTTTTTATATTTATTCTTATTAAACATCCTATAATAAATATAAAGTCACTATAAAAAAAGGTAATGATTACAGCTCAAAAGGCTAAAAATGTCTTATATTTTTTAATATCTAACTTTTCAAAAAATACCTTACATTTTTAAACGGAGGGAGTAAGAGTTTAATTTTCCATTATTATTATTATTATCATTATTATTATTATTATTGTTCTTATTATTATTATTTATTTATTTCCCGTCTGTTGAAGTAGAATACACAAACCCTTTACAAGAAACACTGCCTTTTATAATATAAATATTGATAAATTTACATGTTATTAAATATCTTGAATTTTATTTAATAAATAATATTATATATATACTAGTAGTCCTTTAAGATTTATATAATAGCGGTAGAAGATGCTGCACCCATATGTTCTATGCGATGAAGTTTTTTGAGTGACTCAAAATGGATTTAGTTTAGTTCACGACCTGGGGTGTATATGATAGTTTCACAATTCTGACAAAATAATTGAGGTTCAACAGCAAGAATTGAAAATTGAAAGCAAGTTAGATTAGCTTATGTCAAAACGGAGTTTCTGGACCAAAATCGATTTCTGAAAATTATTCCAATTAATGTGATACATGAAGCTCGCATTCCCAACTCAGAAGCAACCCCCAACCGACCATTCTTAAATTCTATTGTGGAACTGAGTTTTGGGATCTCATACCAATCTTTCAAGCTCCACAATTATTGCACATGCAAACCCACCTCATCTCTATTGTCTTCCAGCTACTCCTCTAACTTTAATTTTCTTTTTTAAATCAATTTTAGGTTTAAAACTTTATTTTTTAAAAATAAAAGAGGAGACAGAGTATAAAACTCTATGGGTCTCGTTTATATCTCCCGAAAATTAAAAATTTTTGACTGAGTCTATGTTAAAATTTGAACAAAATAAAATGTCACTATTACTTCCATTTCAAGTATAATGTCATTTTTACCTAATGCGTACCCACCAAGAATTAAGTTTTCAAATTTTTCCAATTTTACTCTTGTTTAATGCATAAGGAATGGACCATACTATTATAGGACTGGCTACCATTAAGGCCATAGCTATCTTGTATGGCTTACAATTATATTGAAGCAAAGGTTTTTAAAGAGTTAGAGTATTCACTGATTATACAGAAGCGATCAATCTCTTACTTAAAAATGAAAATATTAGTTTCACCCACATACTAGGTCAAGTTAAATTCCTTTTCATAAGGACTAAGTTATGTCCTTAAAATTTATGTATGTGGAAGTCAATTTTAACACCCACTAATTGGCTAAAAATGCTTTAGATTGATTAGGTATCTTTCAAAGAAAAATTAACTGCGACCTTATTATAATAATGTGGTGGCTAATGAAAAGTTGGTCTTAACTTGTTCGTTGCTTGTAAACTCTTTTGAGTTATGAATCATTTTTTCATTGAAAAAAATGCGTGAAAAATACTTTATATGAGGAAAGTAATTTCGACACACTATAGTAAGAACGTTTTGGGTAAAAAGATAATAATCATCCTTAAAATTTGCAAAATACTTTATATAAGGAAACTGGAAACATAAGACCTTAAAAAAAATACCTTATATTTAAAATGATGACAATGTGTGCATGTTATAGGCATATACTTAGTAAAAAATTAATTTCATATGATATTTTTTTCCCTTTGACAAGTTCGTATATGAGGACAGATTTGAGTCTCCAACTGTGAAAAGGAGACGTCAGTGTTTTGGTGGTCCAACCCTTGATTGTGAATTTATTTTTCTTTTCCTTTCTTTTTCTAATCGCTTTTCCCATTTCATCTCTCATCTTCTTCCTTTCTTTTCTTCTTCTCTCTCTGTTTTTTTTTTTTTCAAATGCCAAATCACCCACTGTCGGATGTATGATTTGAGTCAACAATTTGACTTTCAAATATAATTTTTTTTATATTCATATACAAATTAAACCCAAGAATGTATTGAAATGGTATATTAAATTCTTTTCTCTCAATTCAATTACTTATATCTTCTTTTCATATGTTCAAGTTAATTTATATGGCAGGTCAAAAAAAGGTTAATTTGAATGTTTTTAATCCATTTTAAAATAAAACGTTAAATATTACAATTCAATTGAAATGGTTCAAAAGTAAAGTTAAAAAAATTGAAAAATTTTGGTTGGTATGAAATCTTCAGGGCACATTTGGGCTTCTCTAGAGAAAAAGGCCCCAGGATGATCTCTCTGTCCTTTTTTTTTAATGCCTAAAATAAAGGCCCATATGACTTAAGGATCTAATCAAGATTTCTTCTGACAAGTGCCAAAAAAAAAAAAACAGAAAGAGACGTGAAATGCTTTTAGCTGTCATGTAAGGTGAATCCAATTTTTTAATGATTTGATTTATAATGTACAAGGTTGTGAGAACATTGTCAACCTGAAAGCTTTATTGGTGGATGATATGTAAGTTTTTTTAGCTTGAAAACATGCATTGGCCTTGATAAATTTTGAAATTCAACTCACATAAACTTCTGTATGCAAAAAAAAAAAAAAAATAGAGATAAAGATAAACACACCATATTATGACTACCAAAATCCTATTTTTTTTTAATCTTGTTTAATATAGCTATATTGTATCTAATATTATCAGTTTCAATTTGAGCATTTTTAAAACCAATTAATAACAGTTTTTTTAATATGATCTTTTTCATGTACAAACGTTAAAACGTTCAATTTATTTAAAAGAAATAAGAGGCTTTTTACTCAATTTGACTATTATTAGTTGATCATTTTAATTGAATCAAAATTATAAGTTTTGAGTGGCGTCAAATTAAAATTTAATAATTGAGTTTCAACTATTGAATTTTTTTTTTTTTCCCTTCGTGTCTGGTGTCTATTACTCTTTCCATGTCATGTAATAGTAATGAGGTAGGGAATGATTCTGTGGAAATTGCAATGAGGTCGGGACGAACCAAAAAGGACAAAATATTTACAGAGAAAATTTGAGGCTGTCATTTAGCCAAAAAGATTCCTTATAACAAGCATAAAAAGTTAATTTAGGGAGCAAGTCCTTCATATTCCTTCATGTTGTGGTGCTTCAGAATCATAGGGTTTGTTTGACAATTTATTTTAAAAATAGTTTTTTATTTTTTAGAATAAAAAAATAAAAAAATCTGTTTAATAATGTATTTTTAAAAAATATTTTAGAGAATAAAAAATAAAATATTATTTTGAAGAACAGAAAAATGAAAACAAGTTAAACAACTTTCAGGTATTTTAAAATTATTGTTTTTGAGAATACGGGAGAATGAGAAAAATATTTATTTTCATTATTTTTTTATTCTTAGAACATATTTTACAAAATATCAGTTATCAAAACAATAAAATAAAAATAATTTCAAACAATTCCATACTTTCCAAGATTTTATTTTTCAACTTATTATTTTTATTCAAATTGAAATGTTTTATTCAATTTTCATGACTCTAACATGTTGAAAAAGAATAATTGACAATAAAATCCATAGGTGTTCTTGCTGAAAAATAAATAAAATTGCAATAAATTTAATGTTTAGCTTTCCCTCAAATAAGATTAATTTCAATAAATGAATATCTGAAAATAATCAAAAAAAGAAAAATAAATCTTTCCTCTTTTTTCTTTTATAAATACAAATTTAAGTGATTTAAGTCTTGACAGACTACCAAAGCCAAGGTATACCTTGTGGCTTTAAAAGCTATAATTAGATTTGATGTCACAACCACGTAAATCACGAACTACATCATTACCAATTTAATCATCCTTTGTTGGTCAGCAAATAAATCAAAATCATAAAAATATAACCAATAACAATTTTACTTTATATCTGTTACCTTGAATTCAGATTCTGAGTCTTGATTGAGTTGATTTCTTTTTTTTGCAATGAAAGGAAAGTAAGGATGAGCACAAAAACTAGTGAGAATTTGTGCCTAATCTTTCCCTTTTGCTTAATTAACGCCAAAAATAAACTAAAAAATTAGGGGGGGAATCTCTTGCATCGAATGGCCTGAGATCATCCAAATTCAATACAAGATAAAATATTATGTTAACATAAAATCATTATTACAAAATTAGCATTGCTAAATTAGGAAAGTTATAAAAGAAATAATATTTTCCATACTAATTTATAGTTATATATTACACATTTTTCTCATCGAAAAAATACCATCAATCTTTTATACCATTTGACATTTTGCAACTTTTTTTTTTTTGCTCAAATAGTAATAGATAAATAAAGAACCACAAGGCAATCATCTAGTAGGAAACATTACTATCATACTTGCCAGCAAAACACGTTACTATCTGCAAATCAAGCTTTTAAACTTGTCTTGAGCACAAAACATCTGCAGCAAAGTTTGAAAATCGTTCAACAAAATAATATAATCTAACACAATCTCCTAAATCACATATCCAGTGCTGGATAACTTTGGTAGGTTTTGAAGATGAAATAGTCAAAAGTGAGAACATTTGACAGATTCATAGTTGAATACTTTTTTCGATTCTTATTATAAGACATTTCCAACTGTTTCACACATATTAAAAAAGTTAATTTTTTTTTATATCATAAAAAGATAAGATATACTTTTATTTTTACCCTTAACTTTAAATAATAATAAAATTATATTAAAAACTTTCAGGTTAATCAAGAAAGGGTAAAATTAAAAAAAAAATAATTATTACAAGATACCTGTATTTTAAACTAAAAATTACTTTTAAAAAGTGTCTTATAAATAGGACTAGAGGAATTTTTTTTTGGGGTCAAGCCCGGAGGGAGTATCTGGTAGCCATGGTTTGCAGTTTTGCACAGGTTCACTAATTAACGGAATGTCATCGTCCGGATCAGTTGCTAGGAGTTGAAAGCATCGTTTCATTGTCTCTGCATCCACAAATATCATCCAACATTTTCTATAAGGATCTAGTTAGATCTTCATTTACTGTATTAAAAAATCAGAAATAATTAATATAAATAAAAAGAGGGGGGGGGGGGAGAACACGATCAAGAATTTCAGTATAAGATTGATGTATGTAGATTGAACAAATGTATCAGGGACCTTCATGATGTACACAACAATAGGTCGCTCTACATTGATTGCGTTTTATTTTTAATTCCTGTAGTTTTAAAAATGCACATATAAACTATGAGATGGCACTGACGGAGATATTTTCATTGTAACTCTGCTAACCTCTTTACTGATATGGTAAAAAAATGATGATGAAATGAAAATAAATTGACTAGATATGATTGAAAATAAAAGATAAATAGAGAAAAAAACCTTTCTTTTACATTTGGCTTAAACAAAATTTAGGAGGCAAAGGAAATATCAAGTACATGTCAGTAAAGGGGTCAACAGAATTAAATTCATGTCATGAAAATTAATTATTTTGGCACTAGCTCATGGGCCTTATGTGCATTTTTAAAACTACATGGACTAACATTGCAGATGGATCAAACTTAAGGGAATGAAAACGACGAAATAAAACAATGGAGACTGAAAACAAAATGCAATTAAAATACAGGGACCTATTGTTGTATGTTCCCTGGAACAAACATTAATGTGTGTGATACATGAGAAATAGTCTAAAATCTGAATGATAAAAACATAAATGTGTTTTAATGACAAAAATGAGTTACCTGGACATCAGAAAGAGTGAATGCTCTAATGATGCTTGCATCATCAGACAGATACTGGACACTAATGCTTGAAGATCTGTACCTTGAATTGTACTCACTCAATCTCAATTTCATTACAAATGTGGCTCACGGTTCAATAAATCATTTCCTTGCGAAACTATTGCTGGTGATGTTGGCAGCCTGAGAGCAAACATACATTGTGTCAAAAAGTAACTTTACATGAGCAATAGACTTCAAGACACAAAGAAAGAACCTGGCTACGAAATTACGATCATTGCTTAGGCCGGCAAAAGGTGACACCTTTTCAACGATGACATTACTATTGTCATCAATTCTATAGGAGATATCCAGTCCCTCCAAAATAAGGTGATAAATTACTTCCTTGGAATATAGAGAAGTCTGCTCTCTTTCAAGCGTGCAAGCTGCTTCATCTTGGTTCTCATCCATGTCACAAGAGTCACCATTCTGTTCATCATTGTCTTTCTTTGGGATGGCATCATGAGGTCTCTTCCGTTGACTAACTGACCGAATATCCCATGAAAGAACCTGCTTTATCAAGCCTTGGAATTCGCCTGCTGATGCATAAAGTGATCTCTTTCCCTAAGGCAGCAAGCAAGTCATCAGATATCATCCAAATGAGTGGTAATAAAAGGAAGAAAGACACACACACACACATTACATGACAACCTATAACTTAGATGGTACCGCTCCATTTTCAGTATTTCATTATGAACTGAGAAGTCTCATTAGCTACAAATCATCTTAGTCATGCAGAAAATGCAAGCAGGCTTTACGAAGTTACTAAGATGCATGCACAAAAGAGTCTTTACATCATTCACAGAAATTGTTATGATTAAGAGTGTTTGTGCAAGGCAGAGTATTTTATGGACTGAAAAACGTTTTGGTATTTCGGGACACTATTTCTTGAACAAGATATCCATCTTTGCAAGTCAATAAATTTTATATATCAGAATCCATCATGAATCATGACTATGCACTTATCAAGGGTATTGAAGTATTGAATTAACTAACAAAACATAAGATTTTCAGGTGATTCGTATGAGATTCTCCCACCAAAACAAAGCATGTGAAGAAACTTTATTGAAATAGTCAATCAAGTGGTGCTGAGCCATAAAAATATTAATCTGTCATGTTTTATTGGAGAACATGGCAGCAGACATCTTAAAAACTGTGCTTAAATTTTGTCCTAAATCATATAGGTACACGACGCTAGACAATGCAGAGGCAGGCATTGAGTTCAATATTTCAAGTAAGCCATTAACAACTCACAGCTATTCTCCAGCAATTTTCTAGGGCGGAAGTAAGTCATCTGAGAAGCTTACAGAAGCCACTGCAAGTAAGTTATCCTCCTGAAAAAGCAGTGAACTTCATCAAAAACAGAAAATCAAATATCATGGTTCCATATGCCTGAGATGAAAGAAAAAAATTAATGCTACTCAGATATTTAATTATCTTCTATAGTTTTATGCGGATCATTGGTAAAGATAATTGTTGGAATATATGATCAGGATTTTATAGACTACTAACAAGTATGATAGTTGTGAATCTCTTTCTTCCCACATGGAATGACTAAATATGGCATCTAGGGAATGATTATTCTAAGTTAGCGAAAAATCATTGAAGAAATGAATCTTCCAGATTTAACACTCTCCTCCTGCCCAGTTTACAAAATCTACCATAAGATTAATAACAGATCTCTCCTATTAGATGTATGTGAAATTTATCCTCCAATGAGCTGCCACTTACACTGGCAACACTTTATTTCATACAAAGCAAAAAATCATGCTCTTATAACATAACCTATGCCACACAAGAACTGCAATATCCCACATTCCTCACTAAACACAGATCTTTTGTTTAAAACGACCAAAGCATAAGCAGCATTTAATACAAACAAAGGATAATGGATCATTACCATCAGCCAATTCGGCACTTTTGCTTCCACAATGCTGTCACAGTACGGTAGATAGGGCTTGACATCAAGCACTGGCTATTGATGATGTTCAGATGGTAGCCATGATTTCCCATGCATCATTATTATAGAACCCAGTATCAAGTTCATAGTAAAACAAAACAATCAATAACCTAAATAACACATAATTACTGTAATGTTAGCACAGGGAAGCATAGATCAGACAGCTTACAGTTCCATCAACTAGGTCCACACCAGAGAGTAAAACTATATTTCCCTGGACGGCTTCCACCTGTAAAATACAGTTAGCTCATGGAAAGAAAACTAGGACTACTACATTTTGTTTGTTTCAAGAGAGAAAAAGGAAAAAGGAGTATTTTTAATTTCAATAATTAATTTGCACATAATTTTAATGAAAATTGCGGGTACTCCAGCAGAACAAAAATCACTTCCTTTCACAAGCTAAATCTGTACTAGGTAGGGTGGGGAGAGATATCAAGTTGACTAAATGTGTGCAACCACTATAAATGTGAACAAGAACCTTGAATCACTGATATTATCTTACAGGATTTTAAAAAAAAAAAAACAGAAGAAGAAGAAGCAAGCAACAATTCAGAAATGCTATGAGGATATGTATAGATATCTATTAAGAGCTGATATTTTCAGGGACATCATCGTCTAGGTAGTTTGATGGTCTCCTAAATTAAATAATCTACTAATCCATCAAGCTGAAGTTATATTATTAGCCCCATAAAATCATGCAAACATATGTCTGTCTCAGCAAGCTTGTCAGAAACATCAACACAGAGCCAATATCACCTTTGCAACTGTCAGTCCAATGGGGCAAGGACGATGTGGGGATCGTGTGGCAAACACTCCCTTTCTTCCACCTTGCAATCTTGGAACCCTCACCTAAATATCCATCCCCCAGAAGTTATTTTTCAACAGAAAGAGTGTCAAGAAGATACCCATATACAAGATAGCAACACACCTTTGCCTTGAACTTTGACTTAGATGGATCATTCCATAACTTCTCAAGATCTGTATTTAAATGAAATACATATATGACCCAGCAATGAGAATATTCCGAAAGACCCTCGAGTGATGCTGGAGGTACACGAGTTGTATTGAAAATCAAAGATGCTCTAGCAAGAGGTACAAGTAATGGTTGCCTTGGCGTTCCATTTCTGCATGTATGTCAGGTGATAGTTAATGAATGGAGCATCAAGCAGGAACCAGGCATGATGCCCACTAAGCACAAGAATGGACTCCACCAGATTGAGAGTTTTGGCCTAAGGTCTTAGAGGCGGCAGATTAGAACATGATTTATCTACCTGAACGGACCCCAAGTGGCTCCTATGGAGTTAGCATAAATTGTTATAATGGAAGCAAACCAAAGAAATCACTCTAACTGTCAATAATGCAGTTGTCACTTCTTTTTTGTCTGATAAAATGGACTGAACTCAAAATCCAGCTTCTGAATCCTAGGGAAAGAATGGTGTTTTGAATCATTGCATTTCAACAGAAAAACAATTTAAACTGCAAGACTTGGCAATTTTAAGTTTAAATAATTGTCAAGCTCCCACAAATGGACTGTTTAATCATCGATTAAGATATGAAATAATCCACAAATATTTTACCTTGTAGAGAAGCATGATTGGATGATGCCAATAGGTGTCATGGGATAGTAATTCACCTCTAAGTTTTCACTTTTAGGCTGTGTTCGTGCTTCTCTCAAGGCCTGCAAATACTCAATCAAAGAAATTAGTAAAAGAGAAAAGAAAGTAGCAAATAGCAACAATAACATGAAGGCTCTTAGGCTTTATACACTGACCCAAGAATGCATGCCAAGTATAGATAAGATTAAATTTAATAAAAGATAGACAATAATCTAAAGTCAATTGGGCATATAGTTAGCCACCATGTTTTACAAAACCGTCCTTTAAGTTTAAACAATAAAGAATCCAAGTTCTATCAAATATTATTCACCACATTCATCAAGGGTCACTCTCTCGTGAACCAAGTGAATTTACATATAAGGCCTCTTCAACTTGAAAGCTTAGACTGTCTTTGGAACAAGTTTATAAGATGAAAACAATGCTTTAGATTGTGTTCCTGTCTCTCCCCATCACTTCCCACCTGGCACCCATTTTTTTTTTTTTTTAAAAAAACAACCTCTTCTTAATTTAAGGCCAGTTATTGGTTTTACTAATATCTCCGCTATGTTCGTTAGCCCAAAAACAAATTTCTAGTGTTCTCACGCGAAAGCCTTGTCTGTTTGAAGTGTAAACAAAGTACATGGTCAACATGCCTTGTATGCTAAAACTTAATTGAGATGAAGGAAATGTAAGCAATAAGAATCAAACTGCTTAATCTTGCCACTTAGTCATTCATATTAATATTTCAAGAACAACTCCAAGAGGATAAAGTTTGACTTTCTATTCAAACAAGTGAGGGAAGGAAAGAAACCTGCTGTGCCCTAATCCGACCTTGCCTCTCAGAGGCGCATTTCTCTAAGGAAGACTTGAGAGATGCCTCGAGCTTACGAAGCTTGGATTTCAAAGCTTTCGTTTTCGTCTTGAACAAGTACACTGCCAATTTCAATATCTTGCATGAAGTTCTTGAGGGTTGGGGTTTGAGAAGTTTGAAGCTTGAGCGGAGCCAAACAGGATAAAAAGATAATAAACAAAGAACGAAAGGGAAGGCAGAGTTTAAAGTTGATACCGGACACAGAAGCGGTCACGGAAACAGCAGCAAGAACTAAGGTTACGGTAAACCTCGGCCATTTTGCTTCCAAGTCGGAAGACTCCGTGATTCGTCGATGATCAGTTGGGTAAGAATGGGAGTGAGGTGAGTAATGAGGACGAAACCTGAACCTCATGACAGTGGCGGATTTGTCGTCCTGGGTCGTAGTCAAAACAATAATGAAATTTCACTTTAATGCATTTGTCATGTCGTAAATTCTAGTAGTTGCAAGGCGAACTTGTTTGCAGGTGCACTCACAACACAAGTCATGAACCTGCTCTCGAAAAACTCACCAGACATGGAAAACTCTGTTTATAAGGAGTTATTAGCGGCTGGGGTTTTGTATCGAAAAATAAAATACTAATACAAAATATAAAATTTATAAGGTATTTTTTACATCAGTTGAAAGGTAAAAGATGTAAAAAATTAAGGCGATAGCATTTTCATAATCATGTTAAAGTATTTGACACTTTTTACACCGAGTGAAGGTTCACCTGGTGTAAAAAACCAACTTTTTACACCAGGGGCATGGCAACCTGGTGTAAAAAGATGATTGATAGTAATGACGATCATGAATTAAATTTTGATATTTCTAAAACTCCTAACTTCTCAAGTGGGCTACCAATTTTGGACGTGGTAGATGAAGTAGAGATGAACATGCTATAAGAAGTTATCACTATAAAAGGATATGGGAGAATATTCCTATATGAGTTTAGTTTTGAAATTAAAATATGTTAATTTAATTCAATTAAATTTATATTGTGGGATTATTTTTCTTAATTATTTTATCTTTGATTTTTTTAATTAATTTCATTTATTTGAATTAATAGGAATACGGAGAATCAAGGTAATGACACTCAGAGCCAGCCCACTACAAGCCAATCAATTAGTGATGTTGCTCCCAGTGCGGAGCCGAGTCAGGGCACCCCTAGTGAGGAGCCGAGTCAGAGCCAGTCTGTGAGGAGGGGGAGACATGGCACACGATTGAAAGATTTGACTTTAAATAGGAGTGTTGGGCGTAGGTTATCAATTCCATTTGACCGAAGATGGAATCCGATAAGGCCACATAAAGTCAAGTTTGTTAGTTTTCTTGGCCTTCCATCGCGTACCAAGCCTCCTATTTTGTTTGAAAACTGGCCTGATGTCCCAAAACGTGCGAAGGAACAGATTTGGAAAGTATTTAGGTAAATAATTAAAAATTAAATTTTTTATAATTATATATTATTGGTTAATTACTGATTATTATCGTATGTCTTCATTGTAGTTCACATATGATGTTCCATCTAATCAAGATTGTCAACACAAATTGATTTCTTACTATGAAACATGTTGGAGAAATTTTAAGACTATCTTGTTAAAAGATATATCTTTGTTGAGGTGCCAGAGGGTCAGGCTTGTCCCAATACTCTTGATACATATCAGTTCCTTGATGAAGATACTTGGGAAGAAATTGTTAGGATTTAGACTTCTGAAAAAGCTTTGGTCTATTAATTTTTAATTGATTTAAGTTTTATTTATATTTACTTCAATTATAAAATCTAAAATTTAATTTATTAATGGGAAAAACGAGCTAAAAGGCGAGAAATTGCTCGACAGAATCAATGCCCTCACACCCTGTCTTGTGGATGTTATGCTAGAGTTGATGATATATTGATGGCAGAGAAACAGAAGAAGAGAGAAGAAGAAGCTAAGTCTGATCCTTCCATACTCCTTTCTCCATCATCACCTGTCTCTCGAGCGGAGAATGGAGACATGGACATCAGTGCAAGAAAGGAGGCTATACAAGTGAGACAGTACGGGAGATTGCCGAGAGGATTATGAGTAAAATTATTATTCCTTGTTCCTTTAAATTTCTATACAATTGTATATATATTATTAATTAATATTGTTATTTTTATATTATAGAATGCTCTTAAGGAGCAACAAGCCCAAGGAAGCTTCATTTCAAAGGGCAAAAATGATATCTTAATAGTTGCTACATGCAAACCAGAGCATTCGGGTCATGTGAGGGGCGTTGGATATGGTATGGGCATTAAGGACTACTTTAGAGCACCTGCATGTCCCAATTCAAGAGGTGTAGTGACTAGAGAAAAGCTTGATGTATTGATATCCACTGTAAGGAAGTAGATTAAGGATGAGTTTGAAGCTTTATTTGCAGCTTCGCTTCTACAAATGAAAGAGCAAGTGAAGGAGGAGATGATGAGCATGATGAGCTCACACAGGGGACAACTGCTAAACCAGTTCATACATCTCCTGTATTTCATAGTATAAAAGGGAGTAATGTTTTTGAGCGTTTGTCAGAGGGTTCTTCTGGTGACAACATTGGTGAATCGTGTAAGATATTTCTGGAAGATTCTGATAAACATTTGGTTGCTCTTAGTAGCATCTACAATTTGGGGTCAACCATTCACCACAAGCAAATTCAAGATGATCAAGTCAGAGTGTGGTTGCAGATCCAAAAGTGCCAGATGCTTTGGTTTCATTTCCTACTGATGAGGTGAAGACTGTGGTTGAAGTTGTTGGCAATTTTATCCTATGATCCAAGAGACTTGTGATTCTGCTTCAAGCTGTGGTATGAAATTTCATGAATTTTTATTATATAGCAACTTCTTAATATATGTTTTTTATTAACTAGTTCTTGCCTTTTTATTATGCAGAAGCTTTTCTCACCGAATCTCCTAAAACTTCCACAACTCTCGTTGACTCTACATTAGCGAATGATCTTAACGACGTATGATTAATCATTCAATTCAAGAGTTTAGAAATGGATCCGGAGGTTGTGGGTAAGAAAGACATGATAGTAACAATTGAACAGGGAAGATTTGGTTCAACTTCTGTCTAATAATTAGCTTACCACACCACACATTGAACTATTTATTATGTAAATATGTTTTTCTTTAATATAATTGCATTATTGTAAGTAAACTTAATCATCAAGTTTAGTAAACTAATATAATTGCATTGTTGTAGGTACCTTGATCATTTGTGCATTACATCGGGCAAAAGTGATAAGCTTGAATTCCTTTGTCCTCATCACATGACAGAGAAAGGTAATACTCCAGAGTTAAGGGCTGAATACCTCCAATAGAGAATATGTGAAGTTAAAAAGGACATTTTTATGGCTCCATATGTGCACTCATAAGGATCAATTTATAATTAATAGTTTTTTTCAATATGAATTTATTTTAACTTGTATCATATTTAACAGGGACCATTGACAGTTATTTGTTCTTTCAATAAAAAGCAACACTATTGTCTTTTTATGCTCCCTCCATTACAAACTTATGACAGAAATGAAGAAGACATAGACTTGTAAGAATATTTTTACTAAACTATTTAATTTAATTTTTTAAATATATTTACTAACTTGATGATCTTGATCATAGGGCAATGAAACATATCAAAATATAGTCTTATAAAAGCATAACATGAGCTCAAGGATCCCACATGGATTGAGCCAAAGGTGATGCTATATTTTATTAATATGTTCAATTATTAAAATTTCTTACTAATTTCTTATGATTTGTTCTTATATAGAGTCATAGACAACCAGTGAAGACGAACTTGTGTGGTCTATATGTCATGAGACACATGTCCAATATCATCACATTAGGCATGACGAATTTATAAAAAAGATAAATATATTTTTAAAAGTTTTATTTTATTATGTTATTTAAGATTGATTAATATGCCTATTTTGTGAATTAAATTTTAGATGTTCGACAATTTGAATGCATTTCCTGAAGCTAAAATTGAAAATATCCGTATACATTGGGCAACCTATTTTATGAAAAACTTGTGAGGTTTTTTGTTACTTTTAAACAAATTTTAATTTTGATACTTGACACAATTTAGACAATTGTTAGTTTTTCTAATAATTAAATAGTTTTGTATAGTTGATAAATACTTGATAAACAATTGTAAATGAATTGAGTTATTTGATTTGGCAATTTTTATGCACAGCAATGGCAATTTTGACAATTTAAATAATTGTTAGTTTTTTTAAAAGTTAAATAGTTTTATATAGTTGATAAATACTTGATAAACAATTGTAAATAAATTGAGTTATCTGATTTGGTAATTTTTATGCACAGGAATGGGTAAAATCGATAAAATAAATATAGTATAAAAAATTAAATAATTTTTACACTGATTATTACCATAACCACTGTAGAATATAATATTTTTTACATTGGTTATGGTAATAACCGGTAACTGATGTTAAAAGTTAAAGTAAATTTTTTTATTTTCTTGTATATAATTTTCAACATCGATTTTATAACCGATGTAAAAATTTTAGTTTTTACATCAAGTTTATAACCGATATAGAAAGATGAACTTTTTACACTTTTTGAAACAATATCGCTTCTTTAACTGCTGTAAAAAGTTATTTTTAATCATTATAAAAAGTTATTTTTATACTAGTAAAAGGTGAGTAGTTTACATGCAATTATTTTAAAGTTGGAGGGACGTTTGTATATTTCAACATGAGAAATGGTAAATCTTTCTTGGTCTAGAATAATCAAAATTGAAGAAAAAAATTAATCATTTGATCATATAACTTTGATTTGATAATAACTCAATCACTATAGTTTTAACTTGCTTGAAACTCATTTTATAAAAATTAACTTATTACAATTTAGGTCTTATAATTTTAAGGATTTAAAATATTTGTCTCCAAGTTTTAGGAAATAATTTTCCACCTATAGTTTTATTTTTTTTAAAAAAATATAAAGATTAATATTTTAAATGGTTAAATTCTAGGAATTAAGCCATGTGGAATCAAAATTTGAGAACAGAGTTTCAATTTATTTAAAGTTATGGAGATTGAATTACACCAACTCAAAATTTAAGGACTGAAATGAAATTATAGAATTAAAAGATTCATTTTTTAAAAATTAAAACACAACCAATATATCAAAGATATAACATCCAAAATATAAATAAGTAAATTTGATAGCCCATAGATCAAACTTTAAATAAATAGGCATGATTTATTTATTTAAATGAATTTGGTTGAAGGCTTAAAAGGTTAGATTATACTAGGTCTCACCTAGACAAGCTGTGAGTTTCAAATAAGCTTCCTATCCTATTTTTTCACCCTAGGATTAGCATTTAGTGAACATCATAGTATGATAGTTTGATTTATACTTTTTAAATAATGAATTTTTGTTTTCATTGTATTACAAGTAGAATATTATTTCAATTGAAATTTATCAAAAATATAAAGATAAAATCATATTAAATTTTTATCAACTAATTTTAGCACGAAGATTTGGCCCC